TTTAGCCTCCTAACATGAACACATCTCATTCTCACCTGAATCTCGGGACCAACGACACGGTCCGCACCACACTCAAAACACACAAAAGTAATCTTTAACCCGTGACTGTACCTAGGCCTTACCCTAGGTTGCCTACGTACCCTCGTCGAGGGATCAAGTCACACGTAGCTCTCATCTCAAAGGTCACAACTCCGATAATAGACAATTATTTACAACCGAACCACTATACATTTTAGATCTATCACAATTCTAAATCCGATAAAAACACATTAAAACATTATCACTTCCTCCCCAAGGCATCGTATTAAGAAGACATCCGAAGGGCCTGGACAAACTCCGACGGGCCTGGGCAAAATAAATCAATCTCCTACGGGCCTGGGCAAACTCCTACGGGCCTGGGCAAAATAAATCAGTCTCCGAAGGGCCTGGGCAAACTCCAACGGGCCTGAGCAAAATAAATCAGTCTTCGAAGGACCTGGACAAACTCCGACGGGCCTGGGCAAAATAAATCAATCTCCTACGGGCCTGGGCAAACTCCTACGGGCCTGGGCAAAATAAATCAGTCTCCGAAGGGCCTGGGCAAACTCCAACGGGCCTGAGCAAAATAAATCAGTCTTCGAAGGACCTGGACAAACTCCGACGGGCCTGGGCAAAATAAATCAATCTCCTACGGGCCTGGGCAAACTCCTACGGGCCTGGGCAAAATAAATCAGTCTCCGAAGGGCCTGGGCAAACTCCAACGGGCCTGAGCAAAATAAATCAGTCTTCGAAGGACCTGGACAAACTCCGACGGGCCTGGGCAAAATAAATCAATCTCCTACGGGCCTGGGCAAACTCCTACGGGCCTGGGCAAAATAAATCAGTCTCCGAAGGGCCTGGGCAAACTCCAACGGGCCTGAGCAAAATAAATCAGTCTTCGAAGGACCTGGACAAACTCCGACGGGCCTGGGCAAAATAAATCAATCTCCGAAGGGCCTGGGCAAACTCCGACGGCCCTGGGCAAAATAAATTCTCAAACATAAAACCCACAACCGAGGAGGTACCCTAAGGTTGTGCTAATAACACTCAAATTAACATTCTAAGTACCCCATACAAAATCAACAAAGATAGCACTTTCTCAATTATTGTAAATCTACACTCAAGATATTCAAATGTATCCAAACCCAAATATATAACACAAATACTTCATAATATATCAAATCCATTAATCAAATATATAATATATTTCAAATGAATCATTAAAACAATATACACAAACTTTCCACACTTGGTCAACTGGGCCCACGGGGCCCACGACCTCCGTTTTACGATCCAAACGTTCCTATGGATTCCTCAAGGTTTAGGAAACATGTCCTACAAGTTTGGTTCAGATCGGACAGTCGGATCGCTCACGATCGCACGATCGGACGGTTATCGTAAAACACAAACTTTAAGTTATTGAATCGGAACATCCGGGGCTCTGATTCATGATCCGTCAAATCCTACATGATCCTAGGAATACCTAGATCAACATATTAATTTGAAAGTGATCCAACGGTTCTAGCATATCGAACCCGGATAACACACGATATGTAAAATTTGTTCGGGGTTCAAACGTTATCCGAATTGAGATCCGCGAATTCCTATGCGCTCGTGACAACTAGGAGATCGCATTGGGACAAAATGCCCCTCTGATATAGTTCCCACGCGCCGCCACACGCACTGGCAGCGCGTGGGTGTCCAAGCGATATCGCATCGCCGGAAAATCTCAGAATCTGGTAACAAGACTCCTGCCCTAGGTAATAACCCTAATTCGGAGCTACTTTTGTTCTTGGACATACCCCAAAAAGTCAACGGAAGTGGCTGAAAATGGAGGTCGAAATCGGTAGATTTTTCTATCGCTTATTTAACCAGTTAAATGTAGAAATTTCTCAAACCTAACACAACCAGCAGATAGTTCGTCTCGAGAGGTTGAGAAAGCATACCTGGATCGACGGAAATGGTGGCCGGAGGCGTCCGAACGAGCTCCATGAATTTTGGGTTAAAACCGATCGGATTTTTGCATTTTCCGGCGATCACAGGTGGTTCCAGCGACTAAGATCGGTCAGGATGGGAAGAGGGAGGTGGCCGGATGCGGCGGTGGTGGCCCAAAAACCCCGGTGGTGAACAGTAACAGGGGGGCTGTTCTGCGCGCAGGGAGAGAGAGAGAGAGAGAGAAATGAGGGCTTTTCTGATTTTTTAATAAAATTCAAACTTCAACTTATTTACGATTATGCCACTGAGGGTTTTTAGATCGTCACTTTTTCGTTACAACTCTAGTTCAAGCCTACCGCATGTTTACGAACTTGTTTCGACGTGCTCTATGCAACGGTACCACCGGTAGTCCCAAATTCCTTCCCGAACTTAAAATGACCTTTTTGCCCCCTTTTTAAAATTAAGTAAATTATTATTATTTTCAAACCCTTAATTAATTCAAATCGTTTTATTTTTATTATTTATTTCAATTTATTTTCTTATTTCAATTTATTTCCTCTTAATTTAATTATTTTATTTCTTTTTCGGACCGGGATGTTACAATAATGATATATATACTGAGCTGTGGTTTCGCTTACCCCCTAACAGATTTTGCAGGTACTGAACCTAAAATCTAGGACTTGTGATGATTGTGGCATGTCTATAGGGCGTATTGTGTACATAGCTTGTGGTTGAATAATGAGCTACTCTTTTAGTGAACTCTTGAGTAGTTCTAACTTGTAAAATAAATGTAAAAATGTAAGATTTCGGATGTTGTCGTTTCCATTGAATATTTGATGTGAAATATTTATTTATTTATTTAAATGTTCTTCACATTTTAGTTATAGCTTTTATTAAATTCTGTAATTAAGGTCAACTTTGTCAGACAAAGGCCTATTAACTATTCTTTTATTTTATTTTTAATTACTCAGTTTTAGGAATAAATGGTTAATTTGTATTCTTTATGTTTGAAGATTAATAATGTTGACAAGTGTGTGCTTAAGAGACGGTGTCTTCCTGTCACGCTCGGATTCAGGGTACAGTGGAAAGAAAAAAAAAACCCCGCGCAATGTGCATGAGGAAAAAAAAAAAAGAGGCCAAAATAGGGTTTAAAATGAACTTCTTTTATAAAAATCATACAAGCGTACAAGAAATAAATAAAGTTCTATCACTCTTATCTAATTCAACCTCGGCTCACCTACCACCCGTCTTTTGGGTTTTACAACTGCAAGGTCTATAAAGGAGTGAGCAAAACCACAGCTCAGTAGGGACATAAACCTTTCCACAGTAAATTGATATAACTAAATTAAGTGACATGCAATCACATAACAAATAAAAGATAATAATGCATGAATGAACTTCGATTCTACCCAACCCATTAATCTATATAATAGGACAAGCAAATTTGCATGTCCCATACCATGCTTTTTACCACTGTAATTTTGAATGCTCCATTATATAAACTAACACCCCATCTCTATCATCCCATAATTCCTCTTTTGCTAATCGTCTTGTCTAAGTCATGGATCTCCAAGCCCAAAATCACCCAATCGACAATTATACCACCAATATCCTAATCTATTGTGTACATGGGCTCACCTGAACTTGGTCCCTGCAATGGTCAGACTCAACAACACAAAAGATCCTTCCCATTACCCTCTTTTCCATAATTTCTTTATTGATCCGAGAATTCCAACCATCACTGATAACATATGAACATGTCAATATTAATAAAATAATATAATGATAATTAACAACATGTAAACACCCAATATCAAGAACATTAATCAATTTATAATATCAAATATAATATAGTTCTCACGAAATTTAATTAAATCAATTTTTATAAAAACTCCCCCAAAAACCCCCAACCTCGATTCCAAAGCATAACTCCAAATTAGTAAAACACAAACATCAATTTATAATATCAAATATAATATAGTTCTCACGAAATTTAATTAAATCAATTTGTATAAAAACTCCCCCAAAAACCCCCAACCTCGATTCCAAAGCATAACTCCAAATTAGTAAAACACAAACATCAATTTATAATATCAAATATAATATAGTTCTCACGAAATTTAATTAAATCAATTTGTATAAAAACTCCCCCAAAAACCCCCAACCTCGATTCCAAAGCATAACTCCAAATTAGTAAAACACAAACATCAATTTATAATATCAAATATAATATAGTTCTCACGAAATTTAATTAAATCAATTTGTATAAAAACTCCCCCAAAAACCCCCAACCTCGATTCCAAAGCATAACTCCAAATTAGTAAAACACAAACATCAATTTATAATATCAAATATAATATAGTTCTCACGAAATTTAATTAAATCAATTTGTATAAAAACTCCCCCAAAAACCCCCAACCTCGATTCCAAAGCATAACTCCAAATTAGTAAAACACAAACAAAGCTCTCTATCCCCTCCAATATCATATTTCCTTGCATATCACTCTTTCACTTTGTCTTTCCCACATTTCTTTTCTCCTCTCTCTCTCTCTCTTAAAGAACTATCAAAGAATATGAACGCAAGGCTGACAGCCATAAGCAGGAGATGACAATATTGACATGCTCACTAGGTGATAGTGCTTCTAGGTTGTCTATAGTAAAGTGACGTGTCCAACAATAGTATGATGAAATTTTGTTTTGCATGCAGGAGGCACTTTTGCCATGCTTTGCACGTTGTAGAACTTAAAGATATCACAACATGCATATCTGCGTTGCAAAATTTTCTCTAAATTTCATCAGTGTGCAACAGACACGCGTCGTTAGTGGCATGTTGTCAAAAGCTATTTTTCTTGTAGTGCGGTGTCTTTTCTTAATAATAACCAAGAGAAGAAGCATAATAGTGCGTTCTAGCTGTAAGTGGATAAGGACGACCTTTGTCCTCTAGGGTTTCGTCTAGTACTAGTATATACGGATTCTTTGTAAAGTGGATATAAACCATTTGTATTGATTCTTTGTAAGTCTATATAAACCATTGTATTGATTCTTTATCAAGCAAGGCACTTCCACATTTTTCGAAAACATTTCATTCTCCGACAGTCTCTCTTTCTCTCTTACATCTCCTCTTACATTACTGAAACTTTTCCATTTCCAGCAATCTTTTTTTTTGGTCGAATTCTAATCTCATAAAAGAAAACCATGAACGTTGATTATGGTCATCGCCCTCAGCAGTGGTCGCGTGGTCTTTGTCACTGTGGAGAAAATATTTGTAAATGTAAGATATAAATTGTCTCTCCGGCCAAAATTCACTTTGTCTATTATAGTTACCTGACAAGTTAAATTTATACCAAGTTACATTTTTTAGCACTTCTTATATATATATACCCAATTGGTGAAATTGATCTTGTGGTGTAGGTTGCATCACATGGTGTCTCCCATGCATCACCTTCGGCCAAAACGCAGAAATTGTAGACGAAGGACGAAGTTGTGAGTGTCACAAGACCAAAAGGATTTCCCAAATCTATAAACATGGCGAATTTATTATTTTTCCCTTAAAGTTGTTGTATATATAACTGGTCTCTCACATTTAGTTCTTTAGTAATAATCACGTGATTACTTAGTGTGAGAGAACGGTTGCGATGCATAAAGTTAATTTCTCCTTGCACCGACTGCACCTGACTTTAATTATTAAGATGATTAGGTCAATGGTGTGTTACTAACGGTTGGATTTTGTAATTTTAGCTTGCCTTTCCCATTGCATATTGTACTGGTTGTTGTGGATGATTCACTGCCAGTGGGTCTACTCGTGCGTGTATAGACAGAGATTGCGCCAAAATTTTGGTCTGCCGGAGGAGCCTTGTGGTGATTGTTGTGTTCATTTCTTCTGTGGACCGTGTGCCCTCTGCCAAGAACATGCTGAGCTCAAATCTAGAGGCTTCAACCCCTCCAAAGGTTTTAAACTAATCCTACACACACATATGTCGTCATGGTACTATGACCTTAAGTTTATCATTATTTACATCATTCGGCGGTACTTCAATTTTTATTTTGTATTTGTTTTTATGATGTAGGTTGGATTGGGCCACCAACTGCTGCTCCACAGGTGCCTTCTTCCATGAACAAATGATCGCCAATATACTTGGCAGACAATTAATGTTGTGTTTGTCTTCTCCATGTCTTTTTTGCTTTTGTTTGATGGAATTTGCTTTGTGTTGTATGAATATATATTGATGTTGATAAAGTGCCTGTATAAGCGAGGATGTTCCAGATCCAACGTATTGTAATGAATGTGCCGTTGTTTGTTTTGTGTTCTGATACATTTCACATCAACTGGATTAAGGAGTAAAAAAGTATTAGTATAACTTGTTAACATGATCAACTACAAAGAAAATCCTATAGCTTATGGAATTGTTAACATGATCACTCTTATCTAATTCAACATCGGCTTGCCTACTACCCGTCTTTTGGGTTTTACAACTGCAAGGTCTATAAATGGGTGAGCAAACTACAGCTCAGTAGGGACATAAACCTTTCCATATTAAATTGATATTACTAAATTAAGTGACATTCAATCACATAACAAATCAAAGTTAATAATGCATGAATGACCTTCGATTCTACCCAACTCGTTAATCTATATAATAGGGCAAGCAAATTTTCATGTCCCATACCATGGATTCTACCACTGTAATTCTGAATGCCCTATTATATAAACTAAAACACCATCTCAATCATCCCATAATTCCCCTTTTGCTAGTCGTCTTGTTTAAGCCATTGATCTCCAAGCCCAAATCATCTAATTGACAATTATACGGCCAATATCCTATTCTAATATGCACACGGGCTCACTTGAACTTGGTCTCTATAATGATCAGACTCAACTACACAAAAGGTCCTTCCCATCTTTTCCATAATTTCTTTATTACCTCAAAAATTCTAACCATCATCAATAACATATGAACATGTCAATATTAATAAAATAATATAATAATAATTAACAACATGTAAACACACCCAATATCAAAAATATTAATTAAATTTTAATATTAACCATAATATAGTTCTCACGAAATTTAATTAAATCAATTTCTGTAAAGGCTCCTCAAAAAACTCTCTAACTCGATTCCAAAGCATAACCCCAAATTAGTAAAATAAAAGCAAAGTTCTCTATCTCCTCCAATATCATATTTCCTTGCATCTCTCTCTTTCACTTTATCTTTCCCATATTTCTTTTCTTCTTTTTTTTTCTCTCTGTGTGAAAGATCACCTCGTAGTATTGAACAAATAGTGAAGTAGGCTCCTATTTATATTACAAATAAGACTCCGTTAAAGATGAGATAGAAAGAGAATGTCGGCATGTCAAGTAGGTGGTGTCAATTGGCATGTGAATATGAATGTAAATTCAAGACATAAAGATGACAACTCACTTCACTAGGTGATAGTGCGTCTAGGTTGACTGTAGTAAAGTGACGTGTCCAACAATAATATGATCAAAGATCACTATTGTTAAATTTATCATTATTTACATCATTCGGCGGTACATCAATTTTTATGATGTAGGTTGGATTGGGCCACCAACTGCTCCACAGGTGCCTCCTTCCATGACCAAATGATCGCCAATATACTTGGCAGACAATTAATGTCGTGTTTGTCTTCTCCATGTCTTTTTTGTTTTTGTTTGATGGAATTTGCTTTGTGGTGTATGAATAAATATTGATGTTGATAAAAAGCGAGGATGTTCCAGATCCAACGTATTGTAATGAATGTGCCGTTGTTTGTTTTGTGTTTGGATACATTTCATATCAACTGGATTAAGGAGTTAAAAAAACAAGCTTTAACTTCAAATTTCACCAAGGATGTGAACTCCAATAAAAGCACTCGAAATTTGAGTAGTTATTGTCACTCATAAATATGTGAGAGGAATCAAAGTAATAGGATGTACTCACATAATCGAAATGAAGGCACAAGACATGAATAAAAGATCTCATGGAAAGATATCGCATACTTGAAAACATTTAAACTATCCGACCATAGTCATTCCACACCTATTCTCCACATGAGGAACCACACTTCTCCTTGACATTATTGGGACCCATGAGCAAGCTATTTCGGCCTGTATCGCCTGGCCTAGGCAGACTCCTTGGGTTTTCACAGCTGTGTATGCTAAGCCCTGCAGTATAAAAAGGGCTACTCTTTGGGAATATTTTGTTAGAAATGTGCCCTAAGAGCCAATACATTTGATGTGATCTCCTTAGAATACATTTCATATATGATATATAAAGGGCAAACTTAATTTGTTATCTTTTACATCGTGTAAAGAAACAAATGTCCAGGGTATGCTAAATAAGAGATAAAGTAATCTAAAGAAGATTAGATTCGGGAGACCTTTAATCTCTAACTGTAGCATCCCAAAATGTTCCTAATCATAGGTTATCAAATGGGCATTGATAAACCGTCAAGATTAGCGCATATTATGTATGCTCAATTGGGAGGATGGTTAGTCTCAAACCATTTGTGTAGTTGACACTAATACAAGTATGTGGGTGCTCATTAGTGAATGAGTACACTGAACGCGATCAACCGTAGTTCTCATATGGAGTATTTATCTACATGTCAAATGAGAACTCATAGTTGCAATAATGCAAATTAGTCCTTAGACCTGAGGCATCATGGTTGTCCTGTGATGCGTTATTGATCTTTGATAGCTCTTAAAGGCAAGCCGTAAAAGATTTGTCTTAAGTGTTGTTGGGATCTCTTAATTCATCATAGGGGCATGTGAATGTACAATAAGGAATCTCTACTTTCGATAAAGAAGGAGAATGTTTCAAGATGTGATTCAGCAAATCTTTGGCCAAAGTATTTTGAGCTTGATTTAGAAAGTTGTTCTTAATCACGTTCTTTTGAATCACATGAGGTTATAAATCATATTAGGGGTTTGACATAAACAATCCGTACCCTAATAATATGATTTGAAACATTGTATAAGAGAAGGACCGTATTGCATTGCAATTCCAACTGAATAGGTTCTTCATCTATTCTGATTAGCTTGGGTAGCCTTGATATATTGCTAGATGTCACTCTTGGCTTGTGGAAGCCCTAGGATTGATTGTGATCGATCCAAATAAAGGAAAAATTAAAAAGGGGTTTTAATTCCAGTTGGTTAGAAAAAGTTCTAATATTTTCCCACTGCCTTGCTAATTAGAACCTAATGGATCGCACACCTTAAATGGTTAACTGTGAGTAATACAAATGAGAATGAGGAAATCAATTTGATTGATTTGATGTGGATGATCTACTACGTGTAAAAACGTATTTGGGCCTCGATAATAGTTAGAGGGAAGCCCAAATGGTTGGGTAGCAAGCCCAAGGGCTTAAGACACCTAAATATTATGGCTTAAGTGTCATAAGGCCCAATTTTGGAAGCCCAATGAGGTTTGGCCGAAAATGCTTAAGTGAATGTGTATGGGAATTGTTTCCAAAAAGCTCATTAACACAAAAACACAATCCAACATCAACCAAATAGGTTTGGGAGATCAAAGAGAGAAAAAAAAGATAGTTTTCAAGAGTGAAACACTTTCATCTTTAAAAGTGGTTTAGATTGAAACCAATCTTGAGAATCTTGCACTAGCATCCAAGTATTCTCAAGATACTTATTCTCATCTCAAGGTTCCATCGGTGTGGAGACTTAGAGGCCATATACTTTTGTGGCTCACAAGGAGGAGAAAGATCAAGAGGAGATCAACAAAGGAAAATCATCAAGAGAAGACCAAAACACAACTTGGTTCATATAATTGCTTCAAGGGTAATTAGATCTTATCATTTCTCTTGAATTTTCATTTATGAAAAACATATCAATGTTCATGGCTTAAGATACTTGGAAGAAGTTTTGTTTTGAATTTAAACAACCACCTTAGACTTCCGCTGCGATTAATTCGATTAAATGCATGTTTAATATTCAAATGAACTTTGAAAAAATGTTTTGAAATTCCTACAATATCATCCAATATTCTACACATCAAAAGCTCTCCTCGTTGTAGAGACTCACTATCCAAAAATGGAGAGACTTATTTTGTCACTTATAGTTTCTGCAAGAAAGTTGAGACCCTACTACCAAGCTCACTGAATCATCATCATGAGATAATTTCCTTTGAGATCGAATTCTTCATAGTCCCAATGCTTCTTAGCGACTCATGAAGTGGGCTATTGAATTAAGTCAGTATGACCTCCTCTATAGGCCGAAGACTGCTATAAAAACCCAAGATTTAGCAGATTTCATTGCAAAATTCACTTCATCAACCGAAGAAAAGAAGATAGTTAAAAGACCAAGGAAAGTTCGAGAGCAGATGAGACTGAGGCTGTTAACAAGAAAAGCTGCAGACCTGTTAAATGTTCTAATGCTGGACCTGCTGTCTCTCACCTCTTCTTTGCGGATGACTTGATTCTCTTTGCTGAAGCCAACCCTCACCAAGCCAGAGTGATGAAAAAGTGTATTGAGTTATTCTGTGATGCTTCGGGCCAAACTGTTAATTTTGATAAGTCTGCAATCTTCTGCTCTCCTAATACCTGCAAGGAGGTTGCCCAGGAGATAAGTTATATTTGTGGCTCTCCCCTCACTGATAATCTAGGGAGGTACTTGGGTATGCCCCTTTTACATTCCAAAATTAAAAAATCTACTTATGCCAGTTTGATTAGCAAGGTGCATGCTAGACTAGCCGGCTGGAAAGGCAAACTTTTGTCCCTGGAAGGGAGAGCTACTTTAATTCAGGCTGTCACCTCTGCTCTCCCTGTGTATACTATGCAAACTGTGAAGCTCCCTATTAGCGTGTGTGAGGAGCTTGATCGTCTAAACCGTAATTTCTTTTGGGGGGGTGGTGATAAAAAGCAGAAGATCCACTTGTGTCAATGGAACCTCGCTTGCAGGCCTAAGAGCAAAGGAGGCCTGGGTTTCAAAAGAACCCATGATATGAACCAAGCCCTTCTCGCTAAAATTGGCTGGAGACTGCATTGTAAAGATGAGGGCCTCTGGACCAAGATCTTCGAGAAGAAGTACCTCAAAGGCCAATCCATTCTTGAGCCTTCTTTGAAGATGAGACAGGATGTTTCTTCGACCTGGAAAAGTGTTCTGTTTGGGGCTGATTTGTTGGGGAAAGGTATGACGTGGAGACTTGGAAGAGGTGAAACAGTGAAATTCTGGAAAGATAATTGGGTTTCTGAGGCACCCTTAATGCACCACGAGACGGTCCTACCGCCCACTGATGTTGACTCTACTGTTTCAAGTTTCTTCAAAGATGGTTGGTGGGATGTGGACAAGCT